GAGGCTCCCTGCCGCGGGCTCCGGAGGCGCGGGGGAGCCCCTAGGGACAAGGATGGGGTTTGCTGAGTCCTCTTTAACCCTCAAAAGCACTCCTGGCCTCTGCAAAAATACAAAAATAAATGATCTTTCGTTGCACCCTCGCCCCTGATCTTTGCTCTCACAAACATCTCTGCCAAAATGATAAATGCTGCAGTCAGGTTCTCACAGCATCATTGTCTGCTGAACCCTGGGCTGTATACTCCATACTTCCTGTAAACAAAGACAGTCTGTAACTGTGCATTCACTTTTAAAAACATCTTTAAAAAATACTTAATGCTTTGACTTGCACAGTATCCCTTTGCTGATAGGCTGATTAAAATAAATTGGCCAATGCTACACATAAGAACAGAGCGAAAGTATTTCTTATTCCTCCGCACTTAGCACCTAACCCTCTTTCTTATGGAGATTTCAGCCAGGGTTCTGGTTCTACCCTATAACCTGGGTCTTTTCAGGTAGGATGTATTCAAGCCTCATTCCCCACAGACTCTCGCATGACTCTTCTCCCCATTAGAACCCTCGGCACAGAAGAACTCCAAATCAGTTCAACCTAAATGGATGTGGAAGAAGACAGGGTAAGGTGGAAACAATCCCATTGTATTACCTGAGATCATTATAATGTAGGGTTGTAAAAATCTGATGAAAAGAACTGTCCAGCCAAATGTTTTCTACTTCACGTGCAAAATAGTACAAAATATAAAATAGCCCCCAAATCTATTATCCTCCTAAGATATTTGCTGAAAATCAAGTGTTTTGCTTTAAAATTTTTATAACGTGCTGGTCAGATGCACTGGACTTTGCCAGGAAACTTCTCCATAGCCATTATATTTTGCTACCATTTTTGTGAGGTTAACACAATGGAAATTGTTAATTCTTATTTTCAGATAGTTACGTTAGTCCAATATTGCATCAATTTTACAATCTCTTATTGCCACAATAAGCACAGCACTAGCATTCCGTCATAGAGAGTTTTGATTTGAATGCAAGCATAAATAACAAAGGACGCTGGGTCTCTGGAGGAAATGGAGGCACAGACTGAAAATCAGACCAAGTGGGAATGCTAATGAAGTAGCAATACCTCGCACACTTTAAATAACATCTTTAAATAACAGCTCTGTTAAGCAACTGCCTTAAAGGTTGCATTGTAAGCATTTCTTCTAACTAATACGAATGCAAACACACATGAACCAGATTATTATCATCACCTTTTGGGTAATAAAAGCAAAACTTTTCCAGGTGTCAACAAACATGTTTAAATTCTATAAATAAACTGTTCATCTACATGGTAAACTCAATCACAGAATTAGAGCAGTAAGTATTCTTATATGATGGGAAAAAACAGGTTTGGTTTAAATGTAGGCTTGAGGCTATTTTTAGAAGGAACTTGATAATTGTGAAAACTAGCAG